AAGAGCGAAACTCCATCTCAAAAAAAAAAAAAAAAAAACATGTCTGAACAGGCTCTATTATGAGCCACTCAGAAGGGTAAGACATGAGTTTGAGAAGAGACTCTGTCAAAGCAGTACAATTTCTGCTAAACTTGAAACAAGAAACATCAAATTTATGTTGAGAGCAGACACAGTGGCTGAGGCCTGTGATCCCAGCACTTTCAGAGGCTGAAACGTGGGTCACGTGAGCCCAGGTATTCAAGGGCAGCCTGGGCAACATGGTGAAATCTCCTTCTCTACCAAAAATACAAACGTTAGCTGGGCATGGTGGCACATGCTGCAGACACAGGTACTGTGGAGTCTGTGGTGGGAGGATGGCTTGAGTCTGGGAGGTTGAGGCTGCAGTGAGCTGTGATCATGCCACTGCCCTTCAGTGTGGATGACAGAGCAAGATTCTCAAATAATACGGTAAAGATCAGGTACAGAAATAATGAAATCATTGATGCTGTATGAAAAGTTTATGAGGACAATGACCAAAAGAAATCAGCCATGTGTAAAAGGATACCTCATTTTGAGTTGGGAGAAGACAATGTTTGTAGTGATGTGTAGGGGGGAGATCCCACAAGTGCTGAGGCAGGAGCAAAAGGCTTCAGCCTATTTCCGTATAAATAATGAAGAAGAAAGTAACCAGAAATATAACTGTAGCAGTTATTAGTTATTCATAGGTGATATTAATTCTTTTACTAATGCCTCTTAGGTTGGAAGTGTGAACCTGGAGTGACATTGTGAAATGAATGACACTAAGGCAAGATGCTCTAAGCCCTCTGTCACACCCGCATAGGGGCTGCTGGAGGGCGCCTTGGCTGTGCAGCAGCCCCAGTGCTGGGAAAGCGCCCACTGTTCAGCCAGCTAGGGAAGGAGATGTCGAGAATAGCTGAGACGTCTCCTTCCCTGGAGGAGTTAGGACAAAACTCTTCTTCTCCAAGCTCTCATGTTAAGGCCTGATGGCTGTCAGGGAGACCCACAGACATCCTGAGGCTTAACTTTGTCTATGTGATGCTGTGCTTCAGTGGTCACATTCCATGTCTACTCTTATGTTCTGCTTCTGCACCTGATTCCTTTTTTCTTAGAAAAGGTAATCAGTAAATAGTAATATAAATCGCCGGGCGCGGTGGCTCAAGCCTGTAATTCCAGCACTTTGGGAGGCCGAGGTGGGTGGATCACGAGGTCAAGAGATCGAGACCATCCTGGTCAACATGGTGAAACCCCGTCTCTACTAAAAATACAAAAAATTAGCTGGGCATGGTGGCACGTGCCTGTAATCCCAGCTACTCAGGAGGCTGAGGCAGGAGAATTGCCTGAACCCAGGAGGCAGAGGTTGCGGTGAGCCGAGATGGCGCCATTGCACTCCAGCCTGGGTAACAAGAGCGAAACTCTGTCTCAAAAAAAAAAAAGAAAAAAAAAAATAGTAATATAAATCTTAATGTTGTAGTTCTTTCTTGATAAGCATGAAAAAAGTGCTGATGCATTATGCTCCTTACCTCATTTCGGGTGCCAGAAATTCCTAAGCCCCTACCTGAATGAGGCGTAATGTACTTGACCCTATCACTGCCATGCCCTATGTACCCTGCCCCCAGTCTCCAACCACCAAGACCACGCCCTACCGACCCTGCCCCCAGATTCGCCACTCAATAAAAATGAGAGCATCCCGGCATTCTGGGCCACTGCTGGTCTCTGCGATTTGAGTAGCAGTAAACCCTTGGGCCCAAACTCTCTTTTCTCTATCTCTGTGTCTTGTTTATTTTATTTCTACAATTTCTCATCTCCGCACCAGCCCAGAGGGGCTCACAGAACCCTGTAGGGCTAGACCCTACAGTGATGCACACAGCAGCAGGCAGATCATCTACATCAGTGTTACAGAAAAAAATAAATCTTGTTCCTGCCACAATGAAGAGGACTGCCAGCTAACAGCAGAAACAATAGGAGTTTGAGACCAGCCTGGTTAACATGGTGAAACCTCATCTCTACTAAAAATACAAAAATCAGCTGGGCATGGTAGTGGGTGCCTGGAATCCCAGCTACCCAGGAAGCTGAAGCAGGAGAATCACTTAAACCCTGAGGAGGACGTTGCAGTTAGCCGAGACGACACCAGTGCACTTTATTCTGGGCAATGAGAGCAAAACTCCTTCAGGAAAAAAAAAAAAAAAAAGATGGGAAGCCTCTTCTCTTTTTTTCTCCACCATCATGGTGTGTCCTTGACTTCACTTCTCACCATGTCTTCTTATGAGACTTTTACAATTAAGCGATTCCTCGCCAAGAAACAAGCAAAATAGTCCCATTCCCCAGTAGATTCAGATAAAAACAGGTAAGAAAATCAGGTACAAGTCCAAAAAAATACATTGGAGAAGAACCATGCTGGGTCTATAAGGAATTGCACATGGGATGCTACATGTATTTCTACCTGAATGTCACAAACACATTACCATATCAAGCTGAAAATGACACTATCTGGAGAATTGGACATTTTTATTTGGAATATATTTGTCTCTCTGTTATAAATGTGTTGATTGGCTGGGTTCACTAATATGTATGATGTTTTTATTATTTTATTTATTAAAACGAGGTTTCACCATTTGGCCAGGCCGATCTCAAACTCC